TATCATCAGCTTTTGACACGCCTTGGAATTTTTTCCACATTTCCATAGTTTTAACTGAAAAACAGCTAAACGAACAGCTGCCACTACCGAATTCGCATTTATCCCTAGAATCAAGGTGTTGGAGTAAACAACTTGTTGGCATGATACTAAATCCTCAACCAGACCCCAGAAGTATTATTTCCTAAACGTGTAACCGTTATGTAAATGGTAAATTATCGCTGCGAGGAAGCCGTATTTCATTTTGTCCATTTATGAAACACTCTAAGTTATGAAACACTCTAAGTTGTGTATTATTTGGGCATCTCTAACGATGAGAAAAGTAACAAAAAGGCACAATTGCTAAGTTTACGTTTACAGACATTCTCGCCAAAATCCAAAATAAAAGGGAGTGTTATCAATATTTCAGCTTAAATAACTTCCCAAAATGAAAATCGTACTCGCCAAACGAGCGACTGATCGATAACTTGTGCTCGCACGACGCGTTTCACACTAGCATCGGCGAGCGCTTATTTCCAACACTGCGCTTCGGAGAATCATGGGGCTCTAGTAAGCGACCAATCGCTGAAATAACATAGGCCAGTTTCTTACGAGAGCTTTCAGAATAAACTGGCTTGGAATGCGGCATGTGTAAATGATTGCTAAAATAGTCCTTTGAGTCTAAGACTTATTGGAGACATTTTTCATAGGTGATTGGTTCGAAGAGTGTAGACTTGTATATCCAATTAGATGACGGCTATGACAGTTCTTCGTTACCGTGCTACGCCAGTCAAAAAGGTAAGAGCTTCTCTAATTAACAGAATTTTCTTGAGGAACCTTCAAAGAGAGACAAAAATCACCCTGAAGGCGATAAAAGTCATGCAAGTAGTGTATACGTTGACAAGAGACTGTACTTATAGTCCCGCCATCTATTACGTTTCCAGTTTTTGAACACATTTTCGCAGAAAACGCTAAGGACGTACCAAGTCGGCTGAAAGGCTGAGCATTCGCTCTTAACGGAAGTGCGTGAATCTTATTCTTAATAGTAGTGACGCGGATCAACGGTAAACGGCAAATTACAAGCTGACGTTCTGATTGAAGAGGTTTGCTTGAGGCCTGCATGTCAAAATGCAGTTGCTATGGAAATGTCAAATGACGTGGAGAGACAATTGATACACGAAACGCGATATTTGTGTTTTACTGCATGGATCTCTTCATCTGAGGTAACTCCGACATCAACACCTAGCCCATGCTGCGAAAGCGTCAGGTAAAAGGTTTCCTTAGTAGTCTGTTTCCCATGTAGCGCCGGGTACTTAGCGAAAACTGCACTGAAAACATAATAATGTACCTTTTCATAGGTAAGTTTATACTTGTCAGGTAGAAGACCACGAACTGTAAAACATTTAATTAGTTCGCTCCTAGTCTGTGCAATCAGTAGATTGTAAACTATAAGAAATTAATTACCCGAAAACGTTTTTCCTTGAAAACTGACTTCAAAGAACAAAGGTCGAGTTCTTCCAAAGCAGCGAAT